CAACTCGAGGCCAGATTTCACGTCGGATCCACGTCGGCACTGCGTCCGCGAGGCCTGCAGGATATTTCCCGCATGACCGCCCGCTTCCCGACAGGAAACGAGAAAGCCGCACAGACTGAACGTTCGGACGCCCCTGCACCCCGCTCAGCGCCCCGCGGCCGGCGCTCCGCGTTTCCTTCTCCCGCTCTCCTCCTCCTCCTCCTCCTCCTCCTCCTCCTCCTCCTCCTCCGAATGCGGTGCATATAACGACGGTATGCACAAACGCATATGGTTGGGTCCTTCGCCAGTCTAATTTGTTGTTGCTTCCCTGGCGTCGACAAGTCGCGTCTGCTTGAAATCGCTCGAGGGCTTCTCGAGCGCGCCAAAATGTGGCAAAATGCACGCGGGTCTCGACCCAGCAGCGCCCGACCGGGTCTCAACCCTGCGCGAGCACTCGCACGTCTGCATGCAACTCAATACCCAGAGCCATTCAGCAAAAGTTCAAACGGAACTAATGGGAGCCGCGGCATCCAGCCACGGCTTCCTCTCGGCGCTGGGCCCCCGAACGAAGGCAGCCTCAGGCGGCTACGCCGCAAACGATAGGTGTTCTGGCAGGCAGGCGAGCCTGAAGAGTCCAGCGGCGGCGATCCGCACCCCTAACCACTCACTTACCCGACCCACCCACCCCCTCCTGTTCTCCGATGCCGCTGCCTTGCACAAATTACCCTGGCGACGTACCCAACCCCTGCGCAGTGCGCGGCATGAGTAGCGTGGAAGACGTTCTAAGGAGGTGATGACGTGACATGGGCGCATATACTTCTGCGAGCGGCATTCGCGAGGCTCGCAGCCCCCCAAGGATTGCGAGGTCCCGCTCAGATCTGCGCGGTGCCTCACTCCGCTGGACCCGCCACCAACCTTCGAAAGTGGCGACGGTTTTGCAGATCGCAACCCCCCAGGGACGGCGAGCTACCGCTCAGATCCCCGCGGTGCCTCACTCCGCTGGACTCACCAGCCGCCCTCGAAAGTGGCGACAAGTTCGCAGATCGCAGCCCCCGAGGGACGGCGAGCTACCGCTCAGATCTGCGCGGTGCCGCACTCCACTGGACCCACCAGCAGCCCTCGAAAGTGGCGACAGGTTCGCAGATCGCAACCCCCCAGGGACGGCGAGCTACCGCTCAAATCTGCGCGATGCCTCACTCCGCTGGACCCACCAGCAGCCCTCGAAAGTGGCGACAAGTTCGCAGATCGCAGCCCCCCAGGGACGGCGAGCTACCGCTCAGATCCCCGCGGTGCCTTACTCCGCAGGACCCACCAGCCGCCCTCGAAAATGGCGACAGATTCGCAGATCGCAGCCCCCCAGGGACGGCGAGCTCCCGCTCAGATCTGCGCGGTGCCTCACTCCGCCGGACCCACCAGCAGCCCTCGAAAGTGGCGACAAGTTCGCAGATCGCAGCCCCCCAGGGACGGCGAGCTACCGCTGAGATCTGCGCGGTGCCTCACTCCGCTGGACCCACCAGCAGCCCTCGAAAGTGGCGACAAGTTCGCAGATCGCAGCCCCCCAGGGACGGCGAGCTACCGCTCAAATCTGCGCGGTGCCTCACTCCGCTGGACCCACCAGCAGCCCTCGAAAGTGGCGACAAGTTCGCCGATCGCAGCCCCCCAGGGACGGCGAGCTACCGCTCAGATCCCCGCAGTGCCTCACTCCGCTGGACCCACCAGCAGCCCTCGAAAGCGGCGTCAGTTTCGCATTTCGCAGCCCCCAACGACGGCGAAGAGATGGCAAGAGGAGGGAGAGGCGGGAGGAAGGAAGGAAGGAAGGAAGGAAAGAAGGAAGGACGCGCGAGCAGTGCACTATTCAAAACGGATACCCAACCAAAGGGGGTTCGGACAAAAATCAAAAGCAATGGCTGCCTCACGCCAGCCGGGGGGGGGGGTCCCAGGGGAAGCCCTGGGGTGGTCCTAGGGGGTTCCCGATGGGGGTCCTGGGGGGTTCCCGGGTCAGAATAACCACCTCCCTCCGCCTCCTCCTCCTCCCCTCCTCCTCCTCCTCCTCCTCCTCCCTGAGCGTCTTTTGCCACATTCTCCTCTCTTTTTAGTTTCGTCTCCCCCTCCTCCCTGCCTCCTCCTCCGCCTCCTCCTCCTCCTCCCTCTTCCTCCTCCTCTCGCTCCTCCTCCTCCTTCCTCCGCCTCCTCCTCCTCTCCTCCTCCTACCTCCTCCTCCTACCTCCTCCATCGCCTCCCCCCTCCTCCTCCTCCTCCTCCTCCTCCTCCTCCTCCTCCTCCTCCTCCACCTCCTGCTCTTCCTCCTCCTCCTCCTCCTCCTCCTCCTCCTCCTCCTCCTCACACACTTCCTCCGCCTACCCAGTCACGTTGTCCTGAGCTCCTTCCTGTGATCACACATCCCGTAGCACTGCCGCGGGGAGGCCAGGAAGCGCAGAGAGGCCAGCAAGGACGGCGCTGCGCCGGGCGAGGCCGGCATTCAAAACGGATACCCAACCAAAGGGGGTTCGGACAAAATCAAAAGCAATGGCTGCCTCACGCCGCGCGCGCCGCCAGCGCTGCCGCGGCGAGGCCAGGAAGCGCAGAGAGGCCAGCAAGGACGGCGCTGCGCCGGGCGAGGCCGGTATTCAAAACGGATACCCAATCAAAGGGGGTTCGGACAAAATCAAAAGCAATGGCTGCCTCACGCCGCGCGCGCCGCCAGCGCTGCCGCGGCGAGGCCAGGAAGCGCAGAGAGGCCAGCAAGGACGGCGCTGCGCCGGGCGAGGCCGGCATTCAAAACGGATACCCAACCAAAGGGGTTCGGACAAAATCAAAAGCAATGGCTGCCTCACGCCGCGCGCGCCGCCAGCGCTGCCGCGGCGAGGCCAGGAAGCGCAGAGAGGCCAGCAAGGACGGCGCTGCGCCGGGTGAGGCTGGCAGCAGCCCGCTGGCCGGACGAGCCGCAGAGGCCGTAGTTGTAGACTCCCGAGCCGCCCACCGCTGTGCCCCAGACGAGCGCGCCGTCCGCGATGTCGTCGTCCGTCGCGTAGGAGCCGAGGGTCTCCCAGCTGCTGCCTACGACCTTGTAGGTGGAACAATATTCCACGCTGTTCGAGGTGGACTTGGAGTAGCCGTAACAGTCGTCCCCGTAGTCGCTCGTCGTCGGACAGCAGCCGCCCAAGGTCATCTTGGAGCCGTCCGTGTCCGAGCACGTGAAAGCCGGGTTTACCACGAAGCATTTGCCGTAATCGCAAGTCGTGCCCGTGCTCATGCCAGACCGCGATCCATCATCGTTCAAGCCGCACCTCACCACTCCCTTGTGGTACTCCGTGCTGGATCCAAGCGCGACGCCTGGGGTGTAATCGGTCGGGCAGCATCCATCGTCGCCGTAATCCGCGACCTCCACCTCGTCGTCGACTCCCTTCGTGTTCCAATCCGAGATCTTGACACACTTGGTGAACTCTGCCCCAAGGTCGTAGTCGGAAAACTTCACGGTCTCCGCCGCGGCCACGGCCGCAAACCCGGCGACGAGCAGGGCACGCGAGCTGGGCGCCATGGCGAATGGGAGGTATCTGGGACGGCGCCGAAAGGCTCCGCAACCTCGTCTGCGACAGCACGCGCCAAACAGCTGGAGCAAAAATGGCTTGAGCCAGGGATCGATGCTTTGGGGGGATCAAGGCTTTCGGGGATCGAGGTGTTCGGGGATCGAGGTCTTGGGGGATCGAGGTTGGAGGGTCGAGGCTCTCGGGGATCGAGGCTTTGATGATCGAGGTTCGAGGATCGAGGTTGGAGGATCGAGGTTGGAGGATTGAGGGTTTCTGGGATCGAGGGTCGAGGGTCGAGGATCGAGGTGCGAGGATCAAGACTCGAGGAGGAGGGTCGACGTGTTTGGGAATCGAGGGTCGAGAATCGAGGTTGGAGAATCGAAGCGTCCGCTGTATGGACCTTACTCTGGCCCTCCGCTTCGGCACGGCCGCATCTGCGTCAAGACTATTGTCGCAGCGCACCTCATGACGCGTTGTGGGGATTCGAGGAGGAGGAAGAAGACGACGACAAGGGAGGAGAGGCGGATCGAGGTTTGACGATCGAGGTTCGAGGATTGACCCAGGTAGGTGTAGGAGTCAGCTCCTGCGGGCATTCGTCGGCGATGCAAGGCTATTGAATACGATCGGGGAGCTGAACATCAGATTCGGAAGCTGGGCGAGGGCTGGCAAATCCGTGGCCGCTAAAACGGTTTCCCCGGAAGAACAAAACAAACTCCCGGACTAAAACTCAGCGCACTAAATACTAAACGGGCTGCTTCCCGGAAGAAATAAAAATTACCTGGAGCTCCGTTTTAGCAGCCACGGGTTTGCCAGCCTTCGCCTGGCTTCTGACATATGGAACCAGAGTGTACGGGAGAAATCTGGACTAACTACTGAATCGTGATAAACAGGAGTAGGCCGTGTCCGACCGCGGACATACCAGCAGTTCCAATCCAGAGAAGGGTCGAGGTTGAAGGATCGAGGTTGAAGGATCGAGGTTCGAAGATTGACGAAGGGGGTGCAAAGGCCAACCACAAAAAACGTGCGGCCTTCCGAAAACCTAGGATTCGAGCAACAGCGAGCGTCGTCAAAAACCAACAGCGGGCGCTGTCTGGCAGGCCACGCCTGCCCCAAACGGGCAGTGCCCGCGGCAACACTGACGAGTCCTGCTCAAGCTGGGCAGGAATTGCTGTCGGTCTGCGGAATCCTGAGAGGTCTGGCACAGGTAGGGCTGGTAGGCAGGAGGTTGTTCAACCCGTCGCCCTCGCACTCTTGGCCTCTCGCCTCCTTGCTCGACCGCTGCACGGCATGCGCGCGTGAATACCAGATTTGAGGAGGACCCAGAGTCCCAAACGCGTCGCCACCGGAAACGTGGCAGTGACCTGGACACTCACAGGGGAAGAGGAGGAGGAGGACAAGGAAGCGCCAGTTACTTGGAAAGAGGAAAAGGAGGATGAGGAGGAGCAGGGGGAGAAGGAGGAGGAGGAGGAGGACCGAAGAAGACGAAGAGGATGGAGGAGTGAAAGGAGAATGATCGAGGAGGACAAAGACGACGATGACGAGGACGCAGAGGATGGAACAGGACGAATAGGAGGACGATCGAAGTTCGAGAATTTAGAAGTTCGAGAATCGAGGTTCGAGAATCTTCTCTGGGGAGCCTTGTCGCCAACGGCTGGAGTCGCCCGAACATGCTTGGTCGGAACGCACGCCCAATACGCGATTCTCGGAGTACGCGAAGGAGTAGGACGACGACAAAGAGGGCGAAAAGGTAGCGAGAAGAACGAAGACGAGGAAGACACGTAGAAGACGTTGACACTGTTGGCCCTTCCGGGGCGCCCCCGTGACCACGGCTGGACACGGCACTCGCCTGACGGCACTTTTACGTGCATCCAGACCTCCGCCGTCGAGGGCCTCACAACGAGGCGGGTCAAGTAGCTCTCGACGGCCCCCCCCCCCGACCCCACCCCGTGATTTTCCGCCCTGGGGAGTCATGCTTGACGGCCGGGAACCCGGCTCGGCCTCCGGAGGCCGAAAGTAAGGGAAGACGCCTGTCGTGATCCTGTGTACTCCGGTGCGGCTGCCCCCTCGCCCACCCCACCCCGTCTCCACCAGGGGTCCAGAAAACGCGTCGGACGTCTCCCCAGGAGTTCTGCACCACCCGCCCCAACAGGATCC